ATAGGTTGGGGCCTGGTACGATCTGGTCACAAGGTTTGGTGTGGCCCCATCTGTCACAAATTAAAAATAGGTTTTGATAGGATACGATCCGGCACGAAATAGGTCGGGGCATGGTGTGATTAAAAATCAGGGTAGACTTAGAGCGGTGTCCTGATGTAAGCAGCCGAAACGCAAAAAAAAAGGGGTGCGGCATGGACATTTAGAAGGCCTGCTCGTGGGGTTCGCGTAGACTTGCAGCATGGAGGCAATCTATGCCAGAAATTCAGTTTGCGACGGATGAGGGTCCCACTTGTCACAAAATCAGGGCTGGTGTGGCACCATGTCCCCGAAACAGTTGATCCATCGCAAAAAGTTGCGGTTTTTAGGGGTGCGCTTTCACGATGAAAAAACAATAATTTCCGTAGAGTTCAAGACACATTGACCCAAGAAAAAACGAACACCAACCACCAATAAGGCCTCAACCCTAAGCACCGAACCCTACACTGACACGCGAATCCCTAAACACCAACCCCTAATCACCGAATACCCTGGACCATGAACTCGAAATCCGCAGATTACCTCCACTTAATGGCTTCAACAAGTAGCTGAAACCCGCCCGACTGCAGACTCACTTTTCTCAAAATAGCACATTCCCTCAGTGAGAATTCGTTGGCATTCCCAGCTTGCCAGGTGCACTGGTGCGCAGCGAGAAAAGGCCCACCGCGAGTCGAAGGACATTGCAAGGGACCAATTCAATTCCTGACATGCCAATTCAATGTCTTGTACCATGGCAGATGCGTTAACTGAGCTGCTAAAGCTGTCAAGTGCTGTGGTAGCTGGTGATTTACGGGGCTCGTCATGGGGAAGCGGCCAGCAAAGGGCACGGCCGAAGCCCAGCAAAAGCAGAAGAAGGCTGCTACCTCCATGGTCAAGCGTAGTGAGAGCAGCTCCACTCTTGCTCCTGGAGATGCTTGGCAAGACACCATCCAGTCCTTCCAGCCCCACGTGGACTCGTTTCGGGCATGGTGGCCTCTCGCTGGAATTAGTTTCAAGCCATGAAATTTTCAGTGCGTCAGATTGCATGGGGAGCTGTCAATGTTTCTTGCTGGATTCTTGCTTCATGTCTTCATCCTGCTTTGCAGCACTTGAAGGGCGGAGCGAATGGGTGTGCACAAGACGGTCGATGCCTACTTCGATCATGTTTTCGATTCCAAGGACTGACGCTGAGTTATATGTTATTGTGTCTGAGGGGTCGTCGCGCCCAAATGGTAGGACAAGCTTCTCAGCTTTATGCTTCACACGGATGCCGTTTATCCGCCGGAGGCTGGTGTGCTGGGAGCTCGATCTGATGCCATTGCACTCTCAAAGTCCCGGTCTGTCTTCCATTTCGAGCTGAGGGGGTATGCGCAGCCTGGCACTGTGAACACGCCTGGAGCCGCCTTTCTGCGACCCTGGCACTTGCCCTATCACGCCTGCACTGGACTCAAGGGAGTCACAGATCCCGACGCCATGTCATGACAGTATCCTTTTGCCAGGTTCTCGTTTAGTGTGCTGTCCCTTACTACCTCAACTTGCAGCAGACCCATTGATCAGGAGAGCCATCTGCACCTCTGCGAGCTTATCTTGGCAACAGGGCCACTCAGCGTGAATCCAACAAGGGCAGAGCTGAAAGTAGGCAATGAGTGGCACCATTGGTGTCAGGAACTGATTCTGAGTTGAGTTCAGGTTTCAGACGGACCCAAATCATGGAGGAGTCGAGAAGATCACCATCTCCGCTCCGCGCCCCGAGTATGGCCTGGCATCCCCTTGGAAGTTCACCGCCTCCGACTTGGGCATCTCCAGTATGCTCCAGCCGCATGGGCTCATGTACGTCAAGGGCTGGAGCAGGTCGCTTGCTGCGCTCACGGTCTGTTTGTGTGGCTTCGAATGCCCCGAGTTTCTACAGGCCGGAGAATAAGCATGCACGTGTTGTGGCTGCACTGCAGAAGTTTGAACTGTCGCAGGGGTGGCCAAAGGAGCTGCGCAAGCACCTTGCCTGAACAAGTTTGCGAATCTTCTGGCACCCTCAGCTTAGCAGCAGCAAGAGAGTCATGCTTCAGTGTGATGAGGACAATGAGCACCATCCATGCTGCAGTGACTGTGGTGAGTGGGGAGGATCCAAGCTTGCTCATCTTGAGCAATCGGAGTGCCTCGGCACGTTATGACATACTTGCATTTCCGAAATTAAATCTTCGACGCTGGATGCAGCTAAGGCATCACAATGGCTTCCTCCGTGCGTCGCAAGCCGAACGCTTTTAATCTTTGGTCCCAATTGCAGCTGGCCAAACGGATGCAGCGAGAATCCGTGACCGGGCTAGAGGCGGTTTCAAGCAGTTGCGGCTCAACCATAAACTCTAAACCCGCATTGTCTGCTTTTGTGGTGCCAGGCTTGGGACAAAGCGGCTTCCCTGGCGGAGGCATACAAGGTAGGGAAGGTCGAAAGCAATGCGGCGATGAATCTGTGCAAGTTTGTGGACCACGAGATCGGCCTAATTCTGCATGGACTGATCAAGCCTCTCGGCTACTATTTAGATGGTCGCCCTTAGCCTTTCATTTTTCTTTGCACGTAGATGCGATTTCTGAATGCCATGCAGGGTGCAGGGGATGAACCGGTTCATGAGCCACGAGCCGTTGGCGAATGGACTCTTTAACAGGGACATGTGCACGGCTTCTTCCACTATGACTGCGTGGAGTGATTGCTTGACTAACACCCCGGCTGTTTTGGGGCTGGTGTGCGACCGATTGGAGGGAGACTTCCTGGCACAGCGGCCTCAGATGAGGAAACCTTACACAGCCAGGGACGTGGTGCCTCTCATGCAGACATTGCTGTTCCGAGCCCATGTCGAAACTGAATGAGGAGTTTTCTCTGATATAATATGCTTTTTGTTGGCTTAGGAGATTTGCCAGCGCCGCTGCTGCCTGTTCTTGAACGCTATGGAGAGATTCCGGGAAACGTACCCGAAGGATTTCGTTGATGCTGAGGCTCCAACCATCTTGAAATCGTGCCCTAGCCATTTTCAGTCATGCAGTTCCTTTCTACCCCTCACCATTAATAATTCAGACGAGTACAGATCCATCATTCAGGTTCAAATTGCGTCATTGCGATGTCGACTTCGACAACATGCTGGATAGCTCGGTCCCGCCATTGGATTTGAAGGCTGTGGCTGTGTTCCGATCCTCCGGGCGGAAGCACGACAAGAAGGCCTGTCGCATCACTCCCGACCCAAATTCGAACTTTTCGTAGCACCGGTCCTCCAATGTGTGCCGCTTACCTTCTAAACCCTGAAGAGTGAGCAAGGCCGGTTACTAGAACTTGCTTGTCTTTGGGTCCATAGGCGGAGGACGAGAAGTTGGCTGCAGATGAGAAGCCACTTGTTTTGTATTCGTGTTCGTTGAGTCCCTTGGGATGCTGCCATGTTTCGTGATCATCCGGTTCCCAAGTAATTTAGGCTGGCAGAGATGATGGCAGCATCCACGCTGCAGCAGACGCAAGCCAAGATGGAAGCCGACCAGGACGCCATCAAGAACTACATTGCAGTGTCGCGAGACGAGTCTAACCGGCAGGCCACAACATGACAGAATCATGCATTCTCTGTTTTTTTAGGTTGAGTCCTATCTCTGGCAGGCTGGGCTTGATGTCCGCTTCCTTGCTGCCCGTTTCGCGAAGGGAAAGGACTGGGTGCAGAAGTTCATGTCCAGCATCATCGCTATCTCAGTATGGCAGCCTCTGATGGCCATGGAGATGTGGTGTCCTTCTTTCAGCAGCACGGGAACGGGAACCCGTTTCTCATTTGCAAATTCCTTTGCATACCTTACAATGCTGCTAACTTTTCTCTAGAGTTCCAGTGCGCGGCGTGCATGTGTAGATGAGGCATACGGTGATGATTCTGGATGCCAGCCTCTGGCCAAGCAACAGCGCCTCAGATGTTAATCTACAGCTGGTTCTCACTGCTTTAAGAGTGCGTTTCAGATGGTCTTCGGCTTCACTCTGCAGTAATTCATTCTGTCTATTTTTGTTGTCTGTGTACTGACGTGAGGGATTGGAGGTGGAGCATGCATCAGGAGAGAGAGAGCGAGAACGGCTCTGTAAAAAGAAGAATTGTGATAAATCAAGAGACACAGACTTTGAAAATAGTAGCCAGAAGGACAGATGTTGTTAGTTCTGAGTGGTGTTGAATTTCTTGGGTTCCTGGCATTCGAGGCCTACTAATCGTTTGGGGCATATTCCAGTTCATTATAGGTTTCAGGGGACATGGCAATATGGGAACACGCAAGTTCCGCAAAAGAGGTTGGGCGCAGGCCGGGCTGGGAGCAATGTTAGCCCTGCCTAGGAGCCATTGTTTTGGACGAGGGCATACAGCTGGCGCAGAGCATCCTGAACATGAATCCGAACGGAGTCTTGTTGGTCCTCTTGCCACTGATGGGAGGGCAAGCGACGCCAACTACGGTCATGAAGAACCGGAGATCTTTGGAAGACAAGCTGTTGGCGAATCTTGGCTGCTGACATTACATGCTATGCTCAAGATGCCATGAACTCGCTGAACCAAGAACAGACTGAGGGCGTTCGATGTGCACGAGACCTTCATTGCTTTCAAGGAGCCTCCTCATGGTGGTGACAAGCGCAAGCGCTCGCAGCCCTGTAGCTGGGCGATGACGTAACAATCATATCGTATGCTCGAGAAAGACAGAATCCTTTGACGCAAGGCGTCCTCTGCGTGTCCAACCTTCACAAGACATGGGCCTTTGCGAAAAGCAAAGCGGTTATGGGATCCATCGGGCCCGTCTCCCGAGCCCGGGTGCTTGAGCTGTGGGGGGCTGAAGACCCGGAGAAAGGTCCCACACCCTCGCAGAGAGCAGCTGGCTTTGAAATAGTTTAACGTGACCTAGAAGTTAACAGACCGAGCAACGATCGATCAACAGCCTCAACTCAGGTGCAACAACGCGGAGTTCCAGGAACCATGGAAATCTTGAACTATGTGGTCCAAGGCCTGGAGGAGCTCGGTGGCGAATCCGCCATTCATCTCATCGATCTTGCAACGCTGCCGCCTTCCGGCTGCAGATTGCTGCTTTTCAGGGGTTGCTGCTGCTGGGTTTATCTCCTCTTCATCGGTCTATACCTTTGCTGACTGAAGTCGCCCTCCGCTAAGTTAAGATAGATTGCCTGGGATGCGGACAGAGTAGCTGCCTCCAAGATTTGAAACTCGTGAGTATGCAGGAAGATGAGTAAAATTGACCCAAACTCTAGCCCCTGATTTAATCCCTAAGCCCTCAAAATTGGTGATGCCCTGAGGTTCAATGAATGGGGCCGTGCAGCAGCCGAGCTCCAGATTGCTCACCTGAAAGGGGCGCAGAGTGGGCAGTTGACGACGCCCAACTGGCTTTTCACTGGCTTCGGGGTCGAAGATGATGTTGATCTCAATCCGATTGAGTCATACATCGCGGGTCGCTTGATCTCCGCCGGACCCTCATTTTCTACTATTTGCTTCTTAATGACTGTCTGTGCGAAGCATGAACATGACATTGAAGTACACGTTTTCCTTTTCTAGCCTCTCATGACTGCAGGGCTATTGGGACGATGCAGCTGAAGCTGGCCCCAAGAGGCGCCCAGCAGAAGGTGCGAACTCACCGCAAACCCCTTCGCTGGCCGTGCTGAGCTGGAATCCTTCACGCCCACTGGAGCGCTCTAGCTGGCACTTGATCTTGTCTTGCTTGTGCAGTGCTGCTACACACACCTGACTGACGACAGACTCGCATGACAATGAATGATGCATGTCGGGCTAGAATTGCTGAGGCTACCCTCCGCCATCCAAGACAGCCTTGGAAGCAGGGCAGAGGCGCTGAATGCGCGGCTGCGGGCATTCAATGATGAGTATGCCAGCTTCTTCAGGGCCAATGCTACCGTCGCTGCAGCAGTCACAAGCAGTGGGAGTACCGCCGGCACGCCGCCACGCAGCCCGGCACCGCCCAGAACTACCTCCGGGCCCATCTTCACCCCTCCGCGCGCGCCCCCCAACACCCTTCAAAGTCTGGCGCCGCAAGAAGTTTTGCCTCTCGCCGAGTTCCAGCAGAAGTACACGTTGCCTGTCTGAATTCAAATTAGTTTGCAAGTTCTGAAATTCGCAGGCGCGTGTGATTGGCTGAGTCAGTCAGGTCAGCTGGAGAGGCGCCTGCCTCCTGTAACAATGCTGTGAAGATTGTGGAGACGCTGGCCCCTGTGCACGGGCTGTGGCTCGTCAATGATTCTGATCAAGCCACCAGGTTGGCAGCTGGAGAGCTGTGCGGATTTAATGTGGGCAGCTACAAGGAGATGGCCCTGCAGGCTGCCAAGAACACTGAGGACGGCCTGCCATGGCTGGTGGCCGCAGACTACACGTTGCTCGTGATTGTGGACCAGGGCAGCAAGCGATTGTCCTGTTTGGCTGAAGTGGCTGCAGACTTGGCGCGGTCATCGGGTTGCACAGAACTTTCGGTGACGGATCATGATGTGGTGCAGCGGGTCGAGGCCCATTTTTCCAATCATGCCTCCTAAGATTGAGATTGTAAAGTTTCTCCCTGGCAGGATGGAGCTCCCGTTCCCTTCCGCTATGATATCACACCAAAAGCCAAGATCAACGTGTTTGTGCCGAGGGCACTCGCTGCGCCACCCAGCTTGGGCAATCAGGTCGGGGTCACGATGTTGGGCCAGTTCAAGAGTTTCCCGCTGGGTGGAAAAATGGTGAAGTGTGTCTGGGAGGCAGGGCTGAGAGCAGAAGGCTTCCTTTAAGAGAGGGTTACGGTTTCTTTAAATCCCTAAACCCTAAACCCTAAACCCCAAACCCTAAACCAGCCTAAGCCCCAAAAATCGCTGTTTGAAAGGAGTGATAGACCCTAAACCCCAAACCCTTCCAAAAAAATCTGTCCAAGTCGGTTTCATGAATGTTTCGTTCATGCAGGTTGTCGTTTGTCCCTTTGTCAGGTGCGGACGGAGCCTGGTGCGCAAGCCACTTTGACTCCGCTGAAGCCAAAGATGTGGCTCATCGGATCCTGCGAAGTTGCTGGCCAGACAGCTGTGAAGCTTGACTAGTTGCTGTGATGCCCGACTCTGCCTGATAGCGTAAGTAGCGGAATCCAAAGCTCACGCAGAGAACTGTAACAGTGCATCGTGTGCCCTCGGAGGGCGGGCAGAACAATCTTGCTCGTTGCGCAGCGCCGGCCGTTTTGGAGCGGGATGCTCAGGCGCTGGCGTAGCTGCGATGGGATCATTTTGAGTCCCGAAGGGATGCCTACTTTTGCGGGTTAGCTGGAGGCTGCCCATCTGTGCGTCATCGCCATGATGCCATCAAGCAAGTCCGTGCTGATGCAAACTCCATTGCAGCGTGTTCGCCACGTAACTTGCCCTGAGCTGCACAGACGACTCCGTGCTTTCCGGCTGAGTGCCTGCAGGCATTAATTTTCAAGAAGCTGCAGCATCATAGATGTTTGCGCCGGCTGTCTTCATGCCGCTTGCAGCTGTTGAAGCTTTGTCAGAAGAAGAAGAAGACCAGAAACCCCTTGCAGCGCCAGTGGCAAAGTCGAAAGCAAAGGCTAAGGCTAAGGCGAAGCAGAAGGGGTCTTCGCAGGATGCTTCCAAGCCGAAGGCGAAGGCTAAAGCCAAGTCGGTGATGAAGCGTCCATCTGGGTCGGCTCCTAGTTTGATGAAGCGTCCGAGCTCTGCAGTCGCTGGTGCGGAAGCATCAGAAGGAACGGTGAATCCACCAAAGGTTTCCAAGTATCTTTACAAGGACACGGGCAAGTTCGGACTGAAGCTGAACGGCAAGGAGTGTGTTAGGGTCGAAGCCTCATGACAGTCAGTGGAACTTGTTTGCTTCTGTGGGCCA